CAATCGCAGTTCCAATTTTAAGCTGATATCAAGTAACACAACATAACATATCCAGATATTCTGAAAAGTTTGCCTAGACAAATTTTACTTAAATATAATACAATAAAATATTTTTTTTTCTCTGAACAGGCTGTGATTTTTAGACATAACCAATAAATTTAACTTCCTCTTATCGAACTGTTATGTGTCTGGTATGCCTGTGGGCAGCTGAGAGCTTGTAACTATCACAGAGAATGATGGCACAGTGGAGAGCTGTGTTCTTAATGCATTGTTAAATTCATTTTAATTCATTATATTTCTTAATGCATGTTATATTAGAATTCATTATGAATTATTCAATATTCATTTTGCAGTAATATCCATGAGACTCAAAACCAAGATCAATGCCTCATTAGGCACAGAAACATCTGAGGACATGGTCTGGCCAGGTGGACCTGGGCATCTATCTTGCTTTTGGGCCACTGTTTTATACAAGGAAAGCTCAAAGATTCACCTGTAACAAAGAGTGCGCTAACTCTCACTGTGTCTTCTGTATCTGTTTAGGGGCAGTTACTGTGTGCCATTTAGCTCTTTCTATTTAGAGTTTTATCCCGGTTATAACAATAATATCCAATAGGCAAACAATGAGCATCAGTGACCCCTAATGAGCAAGTTGTTACAGTAATCAAAAGATGGGAAATGCCTAAGGACTGTGGGAGAATTTTGACAGCAGAGAAAGAAATACATTGCTGGACTTCATAGTCATTATGTAGGGAGAAAGATTTAGAGACAGCCTGGATATGCTGAACAAGAAATAGGCAGGATTCAGAGATATCCTTGAGTTACAGATTTGCATAGCAAGGTTAATGGTGGCATTTTGCCTAGTAACAGCTCACAGGGAATGGAGATAATTTTAAAGGGGAAACAGAATCAGTTTGTTTTTAGTCACCATAAGATCTAGCTTTGCATTGCAGGTCCTTTTGCAAAAAGGTAACCTCTGATTTGGTCTGCTTTCATTTTTTTTTTGGTGCTGGGGATGGTGGTCTAACTTGAGGCCTCTACATTTTCAGGAGATTCTGAGCACTCAGCACCTAGTGAAAATGAGTTACTGCCTGACTATAAAAGAAAATGCTAATGGGTTTTTATAGCAAGCAAGCATAAAGTCAATACACTTCTGTGGTGGACACAGATCTAACTACTAGAAACCTTATTTAATGGATATACAAAATTGTGTGCATTAGCATGATGTAAATGCAAATAAATATTTTGTTCAAGGCTAAATGAATGAGACATGATGGCAAGGAGATGATTCCTTTGTTGGGAGAATCAGCCAAAGCATTTTGTAAAAGCTTGACAGCCACGTGTGCACATCTTTGCAGGACTAATTAACGCGTTTATGCTTACAGGGAGGCGGGAACTCACACAGTAACCAAGAGATGGAGAGATCCAAAGAATGCTGACTGGTTACAAACAGGCTGAAGAGCCATCAAGTTAAGATCCTTTCCAGAGAACTGTGAGCTTCCAAATGCAAATTTCTCTTATGTTTAAATGAATGTGTAGAGGGAGGGTGCAAATCTCATTTCCCAGTACAGAATGAAACATATTGACTTTATAGTTTCTCTAATTACACCTGTTATAAGATATTGGCCCATGTGTTTTGAAATTTAGGTTTGCATATGCAAAATACCTAGCCTGCATCTGAGAGCTGGTTTTGTCCTCACACAGACATGTGCATGCAGAACCCCCCCAGGTAACTTGCATAGCCACTCAGGTGTAATCAGGGTCACATTTGGGAATAAGCAATAAATTGTGTCAAGTCCCCTACTGCTTAAACTTTCCTCCCAAGACCCATTGTTGCATCAATACCTTAGGACCCAAGTATAATTTTTTTGAAATGATTTCTAGCTCTATGGTTCCAGAGAAGAGTTGGAAAACCCAACCTAACAGAACATAAATCAATGCCGTGGCAACTGCCTAAGAAAGGAGATAACCTCCAGCAGAAAAACAAGCAGCAGCCAATAGTGCCAGGGAGAAGCCAGGATCCTTGATCTGATAAAAGCCCACCGATGCTGTCTGAGGAGCAGCAGCTCTGGGACAACCACCACATCATGACTTAAAAAGCAGAGGTGCTATTGCTCCCGTCGGTGTCAGGACAGAAGCCTTTTGTTAAGTTAGTGGCCACTGGGACACTCCATTCAGGTCTGTCATTTTGGGTTGTCTTTATCCAGCCCTGGGCATTGTGTGGTAGTAAGGAAGACTTTTAATAATTTAACCATTTCAGGTTTTGCTCTCAGAATCATGAGTTGATTTTCAGTGGGGGAAAATGATGTTAAAGTGGGTGTCCAATGTTTTAACTGTACATAATACAAATATTCCTTAGTGGGGAACCATAGTCCCCAAACTATGAATCTGTCTGCAAGATCCTTCTTTTCTCAGTAGATGTGATCTAATTAACAAACTTGCTTTATCTTTCCCTTGCACTCAAGGTCATGTGCTTATGGCCTGATATTTTACTTTGAGTTATTTATATTATAGCAGAGCCTAAAGCCCAACAAGAACAGAACCCCACTGTCTTAGGCTCTGTAGACATGCAAAGTGGGGGAGCCCAAAAGAGTTCACCATTTAAACATACATACGCTTGGAAGGGACAAAGATGAAGCAGTGGGACCAACCTGTTGAAAGTTACCTCTAATTACAGCTGTCTCCTGACAGCAGCAGATCAATGACTGAGCTGGAAATAGAAGCCATTTCCCTGAGTTCCTGTTCATGTACACTGTCCTCTAGTCTAGCTCATCCTGAGGTGAATCATGACCAACTCACCAAGCTTGCCCTTCTACATTACAGGTACTTTTATTTTATGAAAGGTAAATTGTTTTATACAGCAATAGTAATAATAACAATACTTGCTATTTTCTTTAATTTTTTTCCCTACCTAGGTGTTTCACCCAACAATCTAACCAATATACTTATACTACTTAATATTGAATTTGTTGCATTTTAAGTCAGTAGTGTCACACTCAGTTCACATATCAGACAGACCTTCATGACAAAATGCTAATTATCTTTAAGAGACTGACCAAGTCAATCTGACTCAACATCTGGATACCATGTCTTTAAATATGCCTTATATTGGCAGAGGAAGGTTGGTTTAAAAGACATGAAGCTAGGATCTGTATTTATGGCCTAGTTAGCCTAACCAATTGGCATCTTGGTCTGAGCACTTGGGCTAAGTTAATTCAAGTGCAAGTGTTTATATGATAAAGTCTTGCCCTATTGACATGCCCTCACTGTTTCTGCTGTTACCCACATGGAGCCAAAGTCTATGGTTCTTTGTGCTGAGATGCTCACTCAGTCAACTGCAGGAAACCTGACTTTCATTTGATTAGTAGAAAAATGAAATGGATAAACCCATAACAAAGGATCTCACTGTCTAAGATGGATATAATTTGAGCTGGCCTGGAACTTTTCAACTATATCCTGAGCAAAGGCACTTGTGGAAGGAGATTTATGGAACATCAAGTTCAACTGGCATACAAGTTGGAATAAGAGTAAGGGGATAGTAAAGAACATAGAGCAGCATAAAGAAATAGCTGACCTAAGTGGGAATGCATTTTAAGGAAATGTCACTATGAATATTTAATCACATTGATCATTCATGCAGTCTAAACATCTTCAAAGAGAGAGTGGCTGTAACTGAGTCAGGCTCTGATAGAAGAAAGCAGTTTCTTTTCCAGGAAAATGACATATTGTCCAAGGCAAGGCAGCTTTCAGTAGTGGGTTCTGAAATATAGTATGTATTGTCTTACTGTTACATATCTAAGATTCACATTCTGGCACAAATGATAGATGCTCAAACGCTAGCAAACATGCTTTTCACTGTTTAGTAGGGCACTGTGAGGCTTCGGATCGTGCTTCGGATCCGGAGAAGCTTCAAATGCTTTGGTGTCTGAAGCAGCATGTCTAGATCAAGGTGCTGGCTTCGTTAGACTTTCCGAAGAGGTTCAGAGCTTTCGAACCACTTCGGAAAAGCTTTGGAGTCGCTTTGGAGATCTGGCCATAGGGTGGAAAGGGGAACCAATGAAATATCTATAACTTTGGTTATCTTTGTCTGATTTGGATGAAACTTGTAGGGGTGGTAGGGTCTGCTGAGAGCATGAAGCCTGCCAAGTTTAAAGAAGATGGTGCAGAGGTTCGGGGGGAACTGCGCCCCAAATTATTGAAAGCAAAACTCATGTCACGTGTATGTGTTACACCACAGTGGGGTCAAAACTGCAGGGGTGGTGGCCCTCAGTGAGGCCACAAACCCTGCCAAGTGTCAAGGTGATAGGCACAGGGGTTTTGGGGAAACTGCACCTCAAGCTGCTGACAGGCAAAATTCATGACATGGGTGATCCTGCGAGTGTTAAGGCACAGCGGACTGAAAACTGCAGGGGTGGTGGCCCCTCCTCACGTCGAGTTTTGCCTGTTAGCAGCCAGAGGTGCTGGGCCCCAGAATCCAGAAGCCCTGCACCTATCTCCTTGACAG